CTACTTTGACTTTTTGCTTATTTACAAAGGACTTGGCTGAAAAAGCCCTTCTCTTGACTGTGTCTAAAGTTCAGTTTATTTTTACTTGGGTCCTGCAGGACTCCTAAGGATTGCAGGCACCAGACAGCTGTGTTTAGCCATGTCTGTTACAGTAAAGTCAAGGAAACCTATCATAACTGGCAAGCCTTCTAAAAACATGATTGCTTATGGATTACAAAAGCAGAAAACAGTCAGATGAAAATAAACTGTTACCAGACAAAAAAGACACCCACCCTTTCCCCTGTTACTTCTTAAAAAACAGGGAATTTGCTTTGATCAGACTTTTAGGTGAGAGCAGATCGCCTGGAAGTTATCTTCAAGCTAACAAAATAGTGATAAGCAAGGGAGGAAATGGAGCCAAGATATGGCATGTTTGTGAAAAGACAAGAATCTGGCCATTGTAACAATCTCCTCCAAGATCTCCCAGAAAGGACATTACAAAAAAAGTCAATCTGAGCCCTAAACAGGATTTCCATTCTTGCACAGTTGGTCTGAGTGCATGGCTATGGGTTTACATGGAAACATTCTTCTAGGAGACCTATTCTAGGAGACCTAGAGAGACAATAATTCAGCCACCTCTCGCTGTCTTTCCCCTCACTGAGACAGAGTCAAAATATACAGAGCAAATGCAAATAAACAAACAACAACAACTAATTATTGATTTCTACCAAGAAGTTGGTGTTTCCAGTCCAAGGATATACTCATGCCCAAGCTGCTTGAGAAAGCGAAAGAACTGACTCCCCAAGGGAACTATTCAAGATAAGTTAAAAAAAAAAAAAAAAAAAAAAGTAAAGCTGTGAAAAATAAAAGATCACAGGAACAAGTTCCATTTGGTCATAGTTACACAAGTGTGTAGCAGGTCAGGCCAGAGGCAGGTTGCTATGAATTCAGCTTTGCCAGCCACTTGACAGAAGGCTTGTGTGAAGCAGCTGGAATGTTCCAGTGAAAATGAGCCTTTGAGTCTCATGGAGCGGCTCCAGGTTTAAGATGGAGTGAGTGAGAGGAGAATTTGCAGCTCAAGAGCCTGGCTCTGCAGGCTGGTTGCCAACAGGAGAGATGGAAATTGTCCCTGCCCAGGGGGACGTACCACTACATCACCAAAACAGGAAAACCCCCAAGAGTGAGTCACTCCATCCTCAAAAGAGCGGTGGGATGAATCACCCCATCTGGAGCCCTCCCTCTTTCTTTTGTTTTCAACATTTTCAGCTGTTTGCTCAGCTTTTGAACCCCTAAAATCTGAATCTGGTGGGACAACTCAAAGAAAAGGGCTTCTTGTCCCAAAGGGGCCAAGGCCATGGTGCAGATATACAGAGGGTCACGCCACCTTATCGGTCAGGCCTCCTCCACCCAGCTATATTTAGAGTAAAGAAGCCCAACAGCACAAACAGGATTTGCGCGTGCAGTTATCTTGTTTGTCTGGGTTTGAAGTAGCAGCAAACCACTTGACAGGACATACAGAGGAAGGTGAAAACAAACAGCCTTCCATCTGGAGCTTCTCTGAGAGCACTGATTCTTCAAACTGAGAATCCCATGTAAGCTGAAGTCACACGGAGAAAAGGTCAGAAGCAATCATGGGTCTGAGGAGAATCGGAGACTCTTAAACTGCTCATCCAGAAAGGCTTCTGCTTAACACATGATTTTGCAGTTCTACCCATGCTGTGCTAGATGTAATGCTTAGATAAGTATTACAAAATGTAGGAAATAAAAAGGCTTTTTATTTGAACTTGTGTTGGTTGCAATAAGCACAACTCAGTTCTTCAAGAGAAAGTAAATACCAGCAAAGGGGAGTGTGCCTCGCAATTCAGTAGAGAGAACTTTGACTTTATGCGCTGCTGGACATAAGGACACAATCTGAAATAATTTAAGAGAAGGGGAGACATTCTTGCAGGTAGCTTAGAATGTGTCCTGAGCCCCAGGATCCCCTTGGATACTGTTGACATCCACGAGATGAAAAAGCCCTTTCAAAACTTACCCGGAGCTGGGTCTGATGCCACCACATTTTGTAGCTCCTGGATCTTGGGATAAAGAAGGTAAAGAAGAGCATTCTAACAATGCCATTTGCGTACTCTTTAAGTGTTATCTTTGGCTTGGGTTCCCCTGAACTGGCAATAGGGCTGTTTTGCTTCACTCCTAATTTCTTGCATGACCTCACCAGGCAGAGTCTGTGCTGTCAGGGAAGGCAGAAAAGGGAAATACCTGAGTGTTATCATGGTCCTTGGTGTGACACTCTACAGCTCCACTGCTGCTTCAGAGCTGGAGTAAAAAGGCAGAATGGGCAGCATTCATTTTGGGAGCTGGAGTAAAAAGAGGCTCTGCATCCCACTGAATTGTACTTGAGAACCAGGGAAGTCCTCAGTGCCTTTCACATCCTAATGGCCTACAAAGACATTCTGCAGCTCTTCCAATTGCTTTCCATGGCAATTTTCCTCCTTGTGTTGCTACTTCCTTGCCCTTCAGACCAGCCTCCTTCCTAGCCCACCAGCTGGCCACAGGTGGCACAGATGACAGCTGCTATCCATCCAGGTGCAAAGTAGCTGCTGTACCCTCACCTCTCCTCACTAGCCATTACACCCACATTCAGCTGCTGCTAAGCAAAGCAATACAGACCAGCAGATTTGTATACCTCTGCATAAGAGTTCAGTGCGGTCTGAGTGGCTGTGTTTCACTTTGAGCTGGGAGCATATGTGTAGTCAAACAGTGGTAGAGATATCAGCAAGATTAGGGAAGTCATATGTTTGGTTGCTTCCGCTTGTCAAGTTGGGTATTTCACTGTAAGATAATTCTCTGGCTACTTTTATAAGTATTCACAAATTCCCAGTCACCACTTTAGTGTGGCATAAGTGTCAAGACTTTGCTGCTTTTGGCACCAATACTTGAGGGGAAGGACCGAAGTCTCTGTGTTTGTTCAGTCTCTGGAATAAAAGAACGTGGAGGCAGTGAGGAGTAATGATTGTGGTGGTTTTAGCACCAATTTTCAAATAGAACAAAGACTGCTACCCAGGTGAAGTGTTTTCTCTCCATGTCCTTACAGGACTAGACAAGATAGGCGGGACGAAAGTCATAGAATCGTTTGAGTTGGAAGGGATCCATTTGAGTTGGAAGTTAAAAGTTATCTAGTCCAACTGCCCTTCAATGAACAGGGACATCTACAGCTTGATCAGGTTGCTCAGAGGCCCATCCAGCATGACCTTGAGTGTCTCCAGGGGCAGGGCATCAACCACATCTCTGGGCAACCCGTTCCAGTGCCTCGCTACACTCACCATAAAAAACTTCTTCCTGATATCCAGTCTAAATCCTCGAAAGAGATTTTTTTCTAGGTACTATGGAAAGCTTTCTTACGCTTAAGATGGCACAGACTGGAAATGGGCTATCAGGAGAAACTGAGCAGCTTAAGTGGTGGTATCAGAGCAGGAGGTCCAGATGACATAGGTCCAGAGGAGAATAGATCAGTACCTGAATTTGTTGACTGATTGTGGAATAAACAAGTCATCTGGGTAACCTCTCATGATCTCTTCTGACTTCGTTCTCTCTGAGTCATATTTATAGTAATTATTATGTATAACACGTACCACCAAGAAGCACTGTTTTGGAGGCTGTGTTAACATGGGCTCCACCCAGGACAACTCAGAGTCAACATAGATGAGACAAAATGTGCCTGAGATAGAGTGAGGCAGAGAAATGGGAGCCAGCTTCCCCAAAGCTACGCTGTGTCAAAGTGGCGGGAGGAATCTGTGCTTCTGGAGCTAGTGATGTTATGACCAAAGGCCAAGCAGAAACATTAAGTCCTGTATGGACAATTGATCTGAAAGTTTTATATTGCTTTCAAATAGTTCAAATATTTTGCCTCCTATCAGGAGGCTACAGAACATCCCATCCTGCCTGCCTTTCAGAGGCCAAGGAAATGCCCTGAAGTACTTCAAATCCCTTTTCAAGCACTGGTTTCTCTCAGATAGCCCCAGTGACAGATTCTCAGGTGATGAATCCAAGGACTGAGGCAGTTGTCAATCCGATTTGATGGAACCCTGAAGTTTTCTTCCTATCCTTCCTCCTTTTTCACCATGGAAGAACAACTGGCTGGTGGTCTGTGAGCTGAAAACCCAAACCACGTAGGGTACTGGTTTCAATAGGAGAGAATGAGCTAAGCTGCAGCAACTCCCCTTCTACGCATGTTAGTTTGGGAGCATTTAATAAAGTAGGAGAAATGATCTTTCTTTCTATTAGCCATTAGATCCTGATCTTTTCATGCTCAAAGCCACAGCAGCTACTGGAGGGACTCCCATGGGCTCAGCTGGAGCTGTCAGTTCCCACAGTCAAAGCTGAACACAAAGAGCCGCACACATGCAGCCATGTGTGCGGGGCAAGCAGCCTGCCCTTGGCTATCTGCTGTCAGCAGGAGCAGCAGACACAGAGTGATGTTATCTCTTGGTTCCCAGCACTGGGAAGATGGAGAGGAGGCTGGTGGGCAGCATGAAGCAGGGAACCTGCCTGCAGTTTTTTTTTTTCCCCCATTCACAAGGCATGCATGTTCAGCCCTGTGATGACCGGTGGCTGTTAGAGGTAAGTCATGCTCCTGGCCATTCTCTACATGTGGACCTGCTCTGCCAGGATGATGGGAGGAGATGCTGGCAGGGACTGCGGTATATGGCTCACACCAAACCTCTGGAGCATGCCAGCCTGTGCCAGCCTGCCTGCGAGCCAGCAAACAGACCAGGCTGGAGCCCACAGCTCCAGGTAGCTCAGCACCTGTGAGCACTGTTTTTGTTTCTGACATCAGGGGAGCAATGCTGAGGATATGCAGAGCGACAGGGGAGAGAGCCGATTTCCTTTGTTCCTTCTGATTTCTCTGAGATGCCAGAACAGCCTTTCCCAGCATTGCCTTAATTGCCTTCTGCATGAGGAAACCCAAACTGCATAATTAAGGCATCATGTCAGTAGATTTTTACTCTTTTTATTCTTTCTAGGAATTGCTCTGACTCACCAAACATGCTGCATGGTCATACCATTTCCTACTGAAGATCAGCTCGTTTCTATTTGCCCAGTCCTGCACTCCCTTCTTGCTCTGAAATCACAGCACTGAGCACGGTGTAGTAGCTGCAGCAGCATCAGTCATCTCGGAGCTCCCTTGTAGGACTGTGACCCCCACAACCCCAGCTAACTACTGGCTGCCCAACTATTCTGCATTCACATGAGGAAGCAGGATGCCTGGAAAAAACTCTTTTTGGCGGTGACTGGTATTTCCTCATTAACGGCCAGTGGTGGTGTCCTCTGGGGGATATCACAGTCTGGAGGAGGGTAAGCTGCTATTTGCCATTTGGTATTTATTAGTAGCACTGAACAACAGGGATAACTGAGTCCATCCTCTCCCCTGGGAGCCATTGGCATTATTTAAAATATCAAAACAATGAAACCAAAGCCAGGAGCAGACTTTTAGGGATATCATCCTTCTGAAAAACAGCATCACAGTTAACCTCAAACCTTGCAAATAACCTTCCTCTCATACATCAACCTGTTTCAACAGACAGCCACCCTCATAGTATGTCCCCGAAAGCAATAATCTCTGGTTACTTCCAGCAGTAAAAGTGTTTAATGAAAGTGCCTTCTGCACCAGGGAGAGCTTTCAGAGACAATATCTTAAGGCTAGAAATTAATCTACTTGGGAAGCCTTTGACCCACCACAAGGTGATGAACAAATTGGCTTCTGAGGAGATGACAGTGTGTTGTGTCCCAGCAGCTTCTATAAATACCTTTGGGCAGCAAACTGGAATGAGTCATCCCACTAGCCCCTGTGGGATGGGACTTCAAATAGGAGCTGGCATTAGTGTAATAAAAACTACACTACTTGTGCTCATTTCCCACTCTGCCGCTCTGCTAAACAAAGTTTTCATGTCACTGAGAACAAAGGCAGGCCATATTGAGGACAGTTTGGTGATGGCAAGTACCGTGGCTCTTATCACAATGCTGATAACTCATGGGGGACACACAAGACTTGACCTGAGGTCCTTAATGGAAGAAGAGCAGTAACATTGGACTCAGTGATCTTTAAGGTCTTTTCCAACCTGAGTGATTCTATGAACATCAGTTTGACTTCTCCATAACTAATATAATATAAACCCTGGAATATAAATCTGTTTACACGCACTTGGAGACTGTTGGACGCTGTCAGTCATGGGTACATATGAAGTGCTGAGCTCTTTGGATGTTTCCCATTTGAATGGTGAGTGAAACACTTGCAACAGCCTGTGGGGTACAGCTGTGCCTGGATGCATTTTTCAACAAATGGGCTATCAACATGTAATTGCTCCAGATTTGACCTGCTCACGGTGGCAGGCCTGTGCAGGGCATCAGGGTACCTGCTGATAATCAGCCATGGATGAATATCTCTGTGTATCACCATCTGGTATACTTGGAGTTGGTCGTAGCCATTTGTTACTTCAAAAGGAACCTCAGGAAAATGTGGATCCCTCTGTGTTTTGTTGATCCATCAAGAAAGATGAATTGACAAGCTGGTGGCATCTTGGCTACTGGTAGAACAAAATAACCTCTGGGTTATTGGATTGACTGCTAAGACCACTACCCTCAGAAATAATTTTAGAAAGGTTTCTCTTTTTAAGTGTCTGAAGCAACAAAGGATTTTATTATCTTTGCTACTACTGCATTCACTGCATGAACCTGAGAAGTCATCTAAACTCTAGCTACACCCATTTCTACACTGAGTAATTTGTGATAATTATAATACAGTGAAATGAAAAATGAAGTTGTTGAGATATGATGTCAATTTTAGACTGCCATGCAGGGCGCCATCCACACTATTTGAGTCTAATTGAAGATATTTACTTGGCTACAGATGAAAAGGAAATGATAAGACGATAGTATTAATTCAGATATGGGGTAGGAATAGTTGAAGTTGGCATTCATTGTAGAGAAATATCTGTTAAATCTCAGCCACAGTCTTTGCCAGCGTTGAACCAGTTGCTGCAACAGCAGCATCTTCTTGAGGGATGTTAATAGACATCATTAAAATACAAAGTAAATATTTACAAATGAAAATTTCATAAACAAGCACAATGTGATGCACATGCAAAAACTTGTTTTGGAGAAAGCAAAGAGGCATTGCAGGTACAAAGCAGTAGCTAGTGCACGTGCATAGCTTCTGGAGTTTACCTTGAACACAAAAACATTCATTTGCATGGTTAAATGTTGGCTTCTAGCGAGCACCTGAATTTAATGCAATTAATGATTCTGGTGGGTACTACCCCAGTCACCCAAATACTCATGAGGCAGACCCACAATGTAACTGAACAGGCTTGGTAAAGGGTTTTCTTTAGAGTTTTATTTTCTCATTTACTATCTCATTTTAGACTTCTGCTAGAGTTATTTGGCCATGTCCATAGCAATTTAATGAACTCACAGAAGGTCTAAATACCCTTTCTTTTGTAATTACTATTTTGAAATTTCATAGTAATCATATACTTGCAGGAGTTAGGGTTTCAGGAGCGTCTGGTTCAGGATCTCTAAGGGGGTCAGCAACCACTGTGTTATTTCCTCTCTGTGAAACATCAGGATTAAAGCAAAGCAGGAAGGTCCTTTTTTCCATATTTCTTCTTGGTGGAAGACCTGACCTTCTGCCTGTGTGTCCCAGGGCAGGAAGCCAGTTTCCAGGCAGGGACTGTAGTTCATCCTGACACTTCAGCACAGATCATGCCACTCTGTCAGAGACTTCATCTTAAAAGTACAACAAATAAAATACTGATTACCTGCCATGCAATACTGGCTTTAACACCCTCCACGCAGACTCTCCAACGAGCTGCAGTTGATGGTTGTAAAGAAACAATTTAAATTCTCAAAACCAAACTCTTCTCCGCAGGTCTATCTTGCCTGGCAGAGATTGTATCGGGGGAAATTATCTCTCAGAGAGGTGATTGCCAGCCACTGCAACAAGTTATAACGCATCATTCCTCTCTCCACACCCCTCTTCTCTGCAGGCACAATTACAGGGGCTTGATATTAAACCTTGAAGGAGCTTGATGATGAAGATTTATTTGGGAGAGCAATGGCTGCCATTTCACCAGCACACTCAGGCTGTGTAGATGTTGAGGTAAACAGTATGTATTTCCAATCTACAAGGAAGTCAGTCAGTCAGAACCACAGGCTTCCCTGTGAAAGAGGACTGTTTATAAGCAAAACCAATCACAGTGCTTAGCGTGGTGTTAGGGGAATCTCTTAAAATCACAAATAGAAGCAAATATCATTCAGTGAACCTGGCAGCAAACTAAATCCCCATTTATTCCTCAAAACCAAGTTGCCGTTGCAAGGAGTTTTGGAATCCTAGCAGGACTGCCCAGATGTGTATGCAAAAGGCCCTGAACTGTAAACATGTTCTGGTCTGCCAAGTCTTCCCAACAAACCACTGTTTTTGATCATGTCTGTGAGAATATTGGATCAACGTAGTGCTTTTTCAAAGGGAGCTCCAGGTTTCATGTGGGATTTTGCAACAGCAGTATGCTGTCTGTATGTGTGAGATGACTAGCAAAACAAATACTATAATTTTGTATTCCATCTTACACTTCAAGATGTTTGAAGGTATTTTTTTCAGAAAGGTGCTGTTTACTTTGTTGTATATTACACATTCCATAAATTCAGAAATTGTTTTTTTTCCTCAGTGTTGATGCAATGTTTTCAGCTAAGAAGCTCTGTACTTCTCTGTCATCATCTAACCTGACCTCTGCACCTAGAGCTTTCTGAAGAGTTTAGCCCAAATCAAGGTGAGCATTCCTTTTTTCCACTCAAGAAAAAAAAAAAGTGGTTACTCTTAACTTCTGGTTAAGCCAGAGGGCGTAGGGATGTGACAGAGCTCTGTCTCCAGGGTAAGCACGACTTTGTGATTACTTCATAGAATCACAGAATGGCTTGGGTTGGAAGGGACCTCAAGATTCCAACACCCTGACATGGGCAGTGTGGCCAACCACAGGATCAATCATAGAATCACAAAATCATTAAGGTTGGAAAAGACCACTAAGGTCATCTAGTGCAACCGCCTACCCACCACCAATCCTGCTCAATAAACCATGTCCCTCAGTACTACATCTACGTTTTCCTTAAACACCTCCAGGGATAGTGACCCCACGACTTCCCTGGGCAGCCTGTTCTAATGCATCACCACTCTTTCTGAGAAGAAATTTTTCCTGATATCCAACCTGAACTTTCCCTGGCACAACTTAAGGCCATTATTTCTTGTCCTATCACTGTTACCCAGAAGAGGAGACCAACCTTCATATCACCACAGCCTCCTTTCAGGTAATTGTAGAGAGCAATGAGATCTCCCTTGAGCTTCCTCTTCTCCAGACTGAACAATCCCAGTTCCCTCAGCTGCTCCCTATAAGACTTCTGCTCCAAGCCCTTCACAGCTTCATTGCCCTCCTCTGGACATGCTCCAGGATCTCGATGTCTTTCTTATAGTGAGGGGCACAAAACTGAGCACTATACTTGAGGAGCAGCTTTATCAGAGCTGAATACAGGGGGTTGATCACCTCCCTGGACTTCAGAGTCTTACTTATGGTTTTTAAAATGCTTTAAATAAAGGAGGGAGGGAATTTAAATTCTGGGAGGGAGCAAAGAGGAGAAAATTGATTGATGTTTCTCTGTTTCTTTTTTTTTTTGACCCTGCTAAGGTTGATTAAGTGATAATTAGGCTAGAGAATGTGCCAATAGTTATTGCTTCATCCTGCTCCTTTTCTCCCTCAGGACTTGTCACTACTGAATAAAGGGTAGAAATTATATTAGAAATGCCTGCAGTTTTGAGACTGTGTAAATTGAGAAGCTTGTGCTTTTCAATGTTTTATGGCTGATTTGAGGCAAATTAAATTTCCAGACTAATGTTGGAGTTGTTTTTTTTTTTTTTTTTTTTTTTCCCCAGAAATGAAAGGAGGCTGGATTATATCCTCTTTACCAGCAGGATCTAGAGTCTACAGAGTTGGTGCACGGACCTTACTTTCCTCTGTATTTCTGCAGTCTTCATAATGGAGGGGCATAGGTGTGCACCACAGAGGGTGCAAAACAAAGACAAATATCAGTGGGTACCAGTTTTCATAGAGGATGGCTGGTGGATGATACTTAAAACCACACAAAGTGTATTTTAGTGTGCCTTTTGCTGAACAGCTGGGTTTTCTGATTTGAGGGAGTTTCCAAATTTCAGCATTTTTGTTCTGATTCAGAAAAACTAACAGAAAGGAAATTCCATTGAAGAAGTCCTCCAGTGGTTGGACAAATGTGTGGTTTGGGAAAAATATGAAGATCTATTTAAAAATTCCTTAATCAATTTACTTGATCTCACAGTGAATTTCATTTTAACATTATTTACTTTTGATTGTTTGTTGATGTTCTAAGCGAAGGACTTCTAATGTTATTACATATTGTATGGAAAACTACTGGTTATCTAGGAAAAAATTACAGTAATCAAAATATCAGGAAATGCTCACAGTTGTTAATGATTAAATAAAAATGTTTACATTCTAGATGTTGGTGTCTTCACCAACAAATGCAACAAATTTGTTGCACTGATCAGAGAAAAGTAAGCTTTGAGCACATCTTTTGGGGTTTAATTCTTAAATTAAAATATGACCTAGGGGAGAGATTATGAATAATGTGAGTGCATCTGGTGGCAGCTGTATAGAGTTTCTGAGTATTTGCTTGCTACTGTTCCCCCGTAGCTTAGATGAAGTCAGAAATTCCTAGGCCATTTTTTAACCTGGACTTTTCAAGTAAACTCTAAACTCAAAAAAAAAAAAAAAAAAAAAAAAAAAAATCCTCCTTAGCTTCTAAGAGGGAAAAGCAGTAGAATGGCAAGCAGAATAGAATATGAACTAAAGAACTGATAAAATTTGGGTAGAGGTTTGATGGAAGGGGCCAATATATGTATGTGACTCTATTAGAAAACATGGTGAACTTAGTGCTCATTAAATTGATTATTTTTTTTTATAAACTTATGGTTGATGATCAACCTTGAAGCAGATTATACTCTGACAGATAAAGATTGTTTCTTAGCTTGGTACTAAAATAGCAGTACTCTTAACGCCCACTGCTTCCCTCTACCTTGGATTACACATACACATACACATACACATACACATACACATACACATACACATACACATACACATACACATACACATACACATACACATACAAGGGGAATAAGAGTTAATATAAATCATATTTAAAGACTTCAGCCTGTATTCATGTAGGTATGGGCTATATTAACACACTTTAGGCTCAGAAACTTGATAAACCAAGGCCAAAAGCTTATACTCAATCTGGTACCAAAAGGGTTGCCACATCTTTACTCCTGGCTTCCTGTTGGCTCTGTGCCTTCAGTTTCTAATGTCCATCTTCAAGCTGGCTTTTGGTTGTATGCAACATTTCTCATCAATAGCAGGCCTGAGACTCATCTCACCTGGTTTCTGATATTTGCAATGCAGGCATTTATTTCCAGAGTCACCAGTGAGTTTTCTTATGGATGACAGAGAAAGCCATGCACTTAGTCTTATCCTGGCCAAAGATCTAAAGTATGTCAGATGAATAGCAGGGGAGCTGATTCCTCTAAGGTGACTGTGCTCTCCTTGCATGTCCATTACCCTGCTTTTAATGCATTTCTCTATGAATAACAAATGCAAACCATGGCAATGTGTGCCACATGCCTGTCCCCCAGATCAGAGGTGGGTTGTATGGCCCCAGCTACTGAGCCTTGGATGATATCAAACTGTCAGATTATTCTTTCACATTGTTTGGGCTCTTTTCATATGTCTGATTCAATCTCCCATGCATCAGATAGAATAGCCCACAGATTCCCTGAACTTGGTGCTTGCTGCTGGATGCAGACCAGCAGGCTAGGTGAGAGATGAGGTGAGACCGTGGTGCTTTGAGAGCCCTCTAAAAGTGCCTCCAGCGACCACAAGGTATACAAAGCACTCATTGCCACTGTTTTCTTTACTTCACAATGATAAGGACAGTGCTTGTAACCTGGGAGACCATCAGGAGTCATCTTCATTCTTTCAACTACGAATTCCAAAGTCAAGCATTTGTCATGCTGACATGTGAAGAATATGACCAAGAGGCACTCTGTAGTTATTGTAGCTGTTGGCTTTCCCCTGGGAGATGCAGAACTGCATTATTCATCTGTTGGTTCTTCTGAGTAAGAACTGTTTTCAAAATCAAAATTCAAACATAGGTTAGTGGTAACAATGCTGAGATTCCTGAGATAGTTCTGTGCTAATGCCCTGGCCTCCTCTCTGATAAATCTTGCTAAGGTGGCTTCCGGCCTCCAGCAGGCTGCCACATGGGCATCTATTCCAGCACCAGAGCTGAGCTGGAAAATGAACCTGGGGGCACAACTCAGTGCAGAGCCCTTGCGGAACGCAAAAGGAATTCTAGGCATTTAATTCCCTGGTTGCTCTTTGGAAAACTCCTGCCTTGCTGGCCTCAGAAACTTCAGCACATAAGCTCAAGCAGCCAGCATAGCCATTGAGTACTGGAACAGCTGGGAGAGTGCACACTTATGGAGATTTTCTCTTTGCAACCACTTTGTCACACAGTGGAGATGCTATTCCAGGGACCTGCTGTTTTCTTGGCAAATCCACAGTGAATGCCACAACTCTCAGAACCTGGTTAAAAAAATAAGAAACAACAACAACAAAGCAACACAACCCTAATAATAATAGAAAGGGAGGGATACAATCAATGTAATGCAGCCTAAAGTGTTCCTGGCCATCTTAGCAAGCATAGCATGTTGGGTTGTTATCACTCCTAAAGACACCCACTAAGGGGACAAAAGACACATTCCTCTGTGAGTCTTTCCCTCTCTGACCATGTACATGAGGCTGCTTCTGTATCCCACAGGGACCTTCCCAAGGCATTTCATAGTGTCTTGACATTGTATCTAGGATCAGTAAACTCTACACCTCCTGTCAGAATGTATCACAGATGTTGACATGAAGGAGGCAGGCACCTGACAATAAGAAACGCATTCATGTAAAATGAACCCATGCTCCTTTTGTATGAACATTTAGCTCACAGGACTGAAGATAGAATCACAGAATCATAGAATCATAGAATGATTGGGGTTGGAAGGGACCTTTACAATCATCTAGCTCCAACCCCCTGCTATAGTCAGGGATACCTCCCTCTGGACCAGGTTGCACAAAGCCCCTTATGGACTGATAAATGAAGTAATCTCCACACACCAAAGGAGGCAAGTGTAGTTAAAATATCCTGGGCAAAAATGAAATCTTTCCGCTCATGTCAACAACATCCTCCAGCACCACAGATACAAGTTTTTTCAAACTTACATGTCTCCAGGATGTTTTAGATTTACTCTCAGCATGAGCTCCAGAGTGTGAAACCTGCACCATTAATGAAGGTAAGCCATCACTCATCCAGCTCATGTATGGTTTGCATGGCTTCTAAAACAGTTTCTCTAAAGAAAAAGAGACTCTTCTAGGAACAAGCAACTCCAGTGTCAGCTGATTCTTAGCCAGCACACAAAGAGATGTTAATGACTTCCAGCAGTGAGATGGGTCAAACTCAAAAATCCCCTAAATTTCCTGACCTAAATGAGACCAATCGCATAATGGATGGGAATTATATCACCCTTAGCACCCCAAAATAACAATTATTGTTGTGTCTAGTAAAGTGTCATAGCCATAGAAGCAGTCTTTATTTTCTACATAAATTATGATTGGCAGCATGTGTTTCATAGCAGATATCTTATTTATTGAATAGAAAGGCTTCACAGTGAGCCTGGAGTATGACTTCACCAGATGGGAAAGCATTTTACCCTAATGAAGGCTAATGACTTGCTCAGCCAAGTCATTATCAGCGATATCTGTTTGCTACCAGGATGGGAGAGAACAGCCTTTGCTCACCAAAGAGTCAGCATCTCTGGAGAGCCGAGGATAGACACTAGCCTTGGGGCAGGAGTGTGGAAAATGTTTCCTGGGTAAATTAATACTGAAAATCCCGAGAGTGAAGGGTAACTTGAACTTGAAGTGAATCCCAGGGGACACAAGGAGAAGGAAGCAAATGAACTGAGATTTTCTCTTGGAAAAGAGCATTAAAGACATGAAGCTTCGTTAAAAAGTGGATCCCTATATGTGGGCGATCAGCTCATTAGGTGATAGTAAGAGTGACATAAGTCTTGTAGGAGCTGATCTCAAGATAAGTCACTAAGTGCTTGCGCTTTTTGTCTTCATTCCTTATCTCTGGGTTGTTTCAGTGTTTTGCCTGAGTTTAGGCTCTGTAAATAAGCACAAGTATCTTGCTATGTGTTAGGCTCTTGTTAAGGATGATGAGAATGTGTCTGAGGTACCTGGCAAACAGTGAGCTATTCCCTGTTGCCTGGCTGTTGTAATTCTTAACCTTAACACTGGTGCTCCATCTGTGTGCTGAGGCTTATTTCTCTGGGCATTTGGAAAGAATAAGAGGGCTGCCCTGCGTGAGAGCAGAGACCGCTTTAGGAATGAGGAGGATCTGTTTGGCAAAAAAATTTTCCAATGACCTGCACTGGCCAGGAAAGTGCATAGCTCTCCATCAAGACAGTGGGAGAGAGCATCCAAATCCCCAGGGACATAGAAATAGGCATATGTTAGCAAATAACGTATTACATTTCAAGTAACAAGACTCCAATTAAATGAGTAATCATGTAAAAGCAGAAGACTGGCCGATTTCCTCTCTCTGTAGCAATTTTACAGACAGCTACTCTGCATGATGCCATGTGTTAGCTCATCAAGTTCATGACATCTTCAAGATAGATACGACTTTCTAAGTCTGTGAGAACACATCTAAATCAAAATACTCTGATTTGCAGGCATGAGGAATGCATGCAATGCACATGGAAATGCTCGTGAAGAATCCAACAGTTTATACCTGTGTTGTTTGTGCACAGCTGTTTACTGACATTGGAATCCCAGCCAGCTAAACTTCAGCCCAGTCCTAGTCCCTTTCCACCTCTTTTGGCAGGAACACATCAATATGTGTCAAATCAAGTTGTTCCACACGATATAACCAATGACAGTAAAGCTGCCCCATCCCAGCTATGGTACATCTGTCTGGGATGAACAAGAGCTCTGTTCATCACATTCACAGATGAGAGACTGAGAGAAGTCCTTGTTCAGAAAGCTAACTAGCAGTTCTATAAAAGTTAAAGTAAGAACAAAACGGAGAATTGCCAGTTCAGAGGAGCAAATCTGCAAGTTTTTCTATAACTTTACTACTAATAAATAGGATTGTAGCAAAGCTCCCGACTGCATAACCCATCAGTTTCTCCTACTCATGGCTACAGATGAGTAGCAACTTGTGCTCAAAGGGCAGAGCAGGGGAGAGCCATCCTCTCGTGCAGACATCGTCGTGTGACCCTGTGTGCCTGTCTGTACTGTAGCTCTTGTGTATTTGTCCTGGCCAAAAATATGAAGAACTTAACACAATCCATTCTTAGCAACCCAAGCCATGCAAATCTAATGCTGTTCAGTGGCAATATTTAGTATAGTGATCTGAAAGCCTAGTCTCCATTTGTCAGTTCATTGTGTGTTGGTTAGGATTTTTTTCTCTGCTTATAATGCAGTTTCTTTAACCCAGGAGATGAATTGTTATGTGATTAAGGGACCTACCTTGGAGACAGGCAATGAGATATTTGCCAGCTCTCTCATAGATAGGTGATATGCAATTAACTGATTTTAGCATCTCAGTGCTTCAGGTCTTTTATTTATTCAGAGGTAGTGTTTCCTCCTTCCTAACTCACATGGGGTAATGTAGAATACAGGGAATGAATGAAGTTATGAAGTGCAGGTTCCAGGCTCTAAGCTATACGTAACGTCTATATTAAAGCCTTTGTGAAAGCCTTGCCT